AGGAATGATAAATAAGTGATTATGTAATCCTAAAACTGCCAACTTGAAGAGGGAGGATTTGCCATCGAACTTCTGGCCAGAGAAAAAACCCGTAATATGTAGCCAACATTTGGAAGAAGAATGTTTTCAAGATGACTTGGATAATAGCGCCTTGTGACAGACACTAGATGCAGCACTGGGACTTTCCGTTTTATCGTTCTGTGCCGGAAATGTGATTTACAGTATTTCCAGGAGCTAACTTTTTCAGTTTTGGATTTAAACAGTTTTGTTTCCCCTGTGTGTTAAAATTATGGTATATCGGGCTAATCTAAAGAAAGAAACAACTAAAACGCAGATATGGTTTGATCATATTTCGCTGGTCTGCTCTGAGCATTTCTGATGATGACGTCACATAAGCAGTTTAACTGAAAGTATGTAAAAAGTATCAGAATTTTCTCAGAAAAGTCATAAAACATTTTTAAAAGTGTATGTTAGCATTCTTTAGTGAGTTAAGGATATAAATAAGTACATTTAGGACCATAATTACATGAATTATGGAAATCCGGATGTATATTTGGTCACGCAAATGAACTGACATTCGGATCGTGATTCCACGACAGTTCGGGTAGTGACATGCTCAACCCTGTGCCTGCTCCCAAGGGGGAACGTAAGTAAACGTGTGCGAGAGCATGCACAAGCCCATTTCTCCTCGTGCATTAAAAGTTACCGATTACATCGCTCAAACAAGCTTACTTGTATGAAGTAGAAGATTTGCAATTTTTCCACCATGTCACACTCACCACTGGTAAGTGAAAATGGGGACGAGCACATAGGACGGCTTTACGTAAACATATCACCAGAATGATTGACAATTAGGTGGACCACTTTTTTCATGATCCCCCTGGAAAAATAACATCCTCCCCTATACCTTTTACGTTTGTATTTCGGGCGCTTTTTGTTCAGAGTGGTGTTGATAAATACCCCTTTCCCACTGGCTAAAAACCCGTTTAAACCCGGGAACAATGGGCTTTTAGTGGCAGTGGGAACAGCTCACTGATGCATGTCTACCAGGGTCAAACGACTCAGCAAGCAACCCCCGTTAAAATCTCCTCGGCTCTGATCGGCATGTTGTGGAAACACCAGAGCCCGGTAGACCTGCTAAATTACATGATACCATTGAACGCAACGTACGGACGTCAACACGCCGCGCCAGTTGTTTCTGATCTAACTAGCAGAAACAACTCTGTTTACATTTGATAAACATGGAGCAGCTCTGGTGATAGGGATTCAGACATATAATAGAGAGAAACAGTAAAGCACACTGACTACACCCTCGCTTCCTTCCATGTTACTCTCCATTGTTTGCTTTCCTGATTTCTGTCGTACTGCTGACATCATCAAAGCTAACCCAGCATGATAATGTCAACAGACAAATGGCTTGGGGGGGGCAGAGGCCACGCAGCTGCTAGCGAGGGGTTAGACCTGCTTTTATTGACAGTGGAAAAGGAGCCAAATGCTGATTGTTAGCAGAGTGTCTGCGGAAGGGGCGGGTGCACATTTGCGTTAACTGCAACACCCACACAGACGACCTGGTTTCTGAATATAAACCAGCCTTTAGCCTCTGGAAGCTAGCGTCAGCCAGTCATAACCTCTTCCTCCTCATTCATCCTGTCGGTCTTCTCCGATGTAACACTGTCCTATTCCAGGCCAGTAGTTGCCTCCCCGTTTTCAGCTTTCTGTTTGTCCAGCGGACTTATCTGATATACGGCTTTGCTGCTTAGACTTTCTGCATCTAACCTCTTTAGCTTCCTTCGGTTAGCTGTAACCTTTGTTTCCCCAGTGGGCTTTTCCAATCAACCGCTGTTCTCCTCTGCTCTCTCTTGCATTCCTCTCATATTAAGGATGGCTATGGGGATGTTTGGATTTCTATAGCCCCATTTACACTACCCTCTGAAAACTGATCCGTGCCGAGCTTGGATCAGTCAACCGTGGCAAGCTCAGTTCCTTATGACCATTTACTAACCACACTATCACAGTTCCTTGCCTCCTAGTGTTGATCTACAGTACTACTGCTCTCTAGAGGTAAACAGGCAAACCAATGGTGGCGCCCGTTACATTCAGGAAGTTATGTTTTTGTTATCATTGTGATATTTCAGTGTTTGCGGAGAGTCTGGCAAAAAATGCAGCCTATGGTGAATTTACTTGACAGAGTCAGCTTTTGGGAAGTGGATACAACAAATGATAGTCTATTCATTCCTGCTTACAGATGCAGGAAACAACGACAGACGTAGAGGTTCATTACACTGCTAAGCAGTATTATCACTGGAAATTGTGTGGCACAGTCAGGAAGCTAGTATTTTTACGAATATCTGAAGTTTCCTGAGTACGGAGGCGGACTGTAAGGAGATGAAGCGGTCTGCTCATGCGCTCTTTGTTATCCGAGAACCGAGCCAGAAGTGAACTGCGCCGAGCCCTACTGATGAACTAGTACCAGTTGAGGGCTGTTCAGTTGTGTCTAGCACGGTCCGGTTCAGTTTTTCGTGCTATTTACACTCAACAGTTATCCCGGTTACTGGCTCGGACCGATCTCGTCATGGTTTTAAAAGGGTACTGGAAATGGGGCTTATGTCGTAACTTTGTTGCGGCTCAGCTTTGGGCACAGTTACGAGTCTACTTTGAAAAAAGGGCGTCTGTGTAGGTGTCGCAGTGAATGCAAAGACGTCCCCGCCCCCTCCGCAGACACTCCGCTGCACCTCTCCCAAATTGTAGGTGACCGCAGACAGTGCTGCAGACAGGAGGCTGGCTTGTTTTGTTTGTATGAACGCAATTGCGAAAAACGACTCATGAAGACAAACCAGCTGGAAGAGCGAGGGGCGCAAGAACGCTGGGACCCTTTTTCCACCTGGATCCCCACTCTTTTTCGCCCTAATGTCCCTCTGTTGTTGGACAAACTCGCCCCGACTTCCTCACGGCCTCAGCCATATTTAGAACGAGAGCGCATAGCCCAGACCATGCTCAAAATTGAGCTGTCTGCGTCAAGCTTAGGTCACAACCTGTCTTCAACTCTGACAAACTTTGTTCCGCCTGTGGTGCTCTCTTGCTTCACTCCTCTTTTTCATGCAATCGACAATGTTTCTGTGTGTTGACTGCTCTGTCTGCAATCCTGCAACCCTTTTGTCTGCAATCCTGCAATCCTTTTTTCCTGTGTGCTGGATGTGTTGTTCGCAGTTTTATCACACGTTTCAGCTGTGTTGTTTCTGTGTTAAATGTTTTTTGGCCGAAAACCAAAAATTTACTTTTGGGTAATTTTTTGGCTAGGAATTGTCAGTGGGCAATTTTTGGTTCAACCCCAATACTGTAAATCTCCAACCTTTAGATAACTTTTGCTCCTGGACTTGATCCTGCTGTCAAAATGAAACTTAATTTAGTAAATAAATCTCCTACCTAAGTTCGGAAAGATTGTTTAACGTTTTATCATGGCTTTGTTTTCTTTCTTTTAACGTGTGCCTTGGTTTAAGAATCAACCTGACGTTAAGAAATGTATTTGTCATTGTAACCTAAGTGGTTTTTACCTTTGTCTTTCAGGTCATGGCCATGGAAGTATCATGTCTGACAGGTGTTGATGAAGATGAAAAAGATGCAGAGTCAGAAATCCATTCCTTCATGCTGCTACAACCTGTGAAAATGGCACAGGAATCTTGCACAGATTCTTTTGACGTTTTGTCCAGCCCAGATATGTTGTCTCCAATTGGTTTGGCTAATGGACCTTCTTTGCATCAGGCTACTCAAGCTCATGAACCTAACTGCATTACCTCTGAGAAAGAAGAGGAAAAAAGCATCACCCAACTAAAGACTGTGCAGGAAATAGACAGCCCTGGAATATGGGGGTTTGACACAGAATCAACAGAAAACTCGTTGGACAATTTCAATAGTGCTGGTGACCTTAACTGGGACCCTCACAAAGAGTTTATGCAGTTTCTTTTGGAGAATCACAACGAATCCCCGACAGAGGAACCTAAAGAGGACACTTGTTCTGCCAACAGTCAAAGGAGAAGGAAAAGGAAAATGGATATGGTGGTAATGGTAGATCCTTCGGAAGACCTCTACCCAGATCTAAGCCCTAAGTCCTCTGACAAATCGTCAGATGCTGAAGGCTTGGTAGACTCCAGTCCTGTTAGAGAAGTCAGTAAACCACAGAAGCTCTCCAAGCCACAGTCATCTGCCACCGAAGTAGTTCCCAAATACCCTAATGGAACCGTAAAGGCCATTAAAGAAGTTCTGTATGAAACACCTGCAAGAAGTTCGTGCGAGATTAACGTAAATGATAAACTTCCAACACTACAAAGGCGGCTGAAGATCATTTCGCATTCACAGCGCAGGCCATCATCTTACTCCTGCCCAAAATGTAAACTCGTGTTCAAGAAGGAACACCGCTTGCTTCGTCATATGAAGTCTCACAAAGATCCCCCTAAAGTCTCAACGGAGCCTTTTATATGCAGAGAATGTGGCAAAAGTTTCAAACAAAGTAATGCGCTTATTAACCACATGTCCATCCATCGGGAAAAAACAAGAGTCGCAGACGAAGTGAAAGATAGGACTGAGAAGAAAAAGAAAGAAGATAAAAATGCAGATAAAAAGTTTTTCTGCCCTCAGTGCCCATTCGGTACAAGCTGCCCAAACTCATTTGTTGCACATGCAAAAACTCACGAAAAAGACAAACGAAAGTACAGATGCGACAAATGCAGTTACAGGACTGTGAATGACCAGGATCTTAGGCGGCATAATGTTATGCATCACACGGTTATTAGAGTTCGAAAAAGAATGCAGAAAGATGACAACGAGGTTTTCCCATGTAACATTTGCTCCTATAAGGCTTTCGGCAAGTATGTATTTGAGAAACACTTACTCATACGTCATGACATGTCTTTTGAGGAATACATGGCAGCACACAAAGATGAGATAACCGCACAAAAGTCCAAGGAGCGCAAGTCCCCAGTGCGCAAAACTCAATTTGAAGAGTTTAGGTCAAAAATGTCAGTGCAAAATCAAATCTCCAAAAAAACGGATTTAACAGAAGATTCTGGTGGGATTTCTGACTTGCTCCAAAATAGCAAGTTTAAGAGAGATCCCAAATCTCAGTTGATGGAATCAAAGCTTGACAAATCTATCAATGTTCTCCTGTCTCGTCAAAACCATAGAAAGAAGGGTGGTGAACACAAGGAGGAAAGCAATAACATGAGCACAAATGATCATGATTCCAAAAAGGAAAAAGATGGTTGTGATGAGTCACAAGAATTGTCGGCCCAGGCCGAAGACTCCTCTGGAACCAGCAATGGCCCCAAGTTGCGCTTGGATCACCCATCGGTCAAAAAGTCTCAGTCTAAACGGAAAATGTCCACTCCATATCGCAACACCTCTGACCAGGACTCTTGTTTCATTTTACCAAAACCGTTACCTAGCCCGAAAAAAGTGAACTCGGAGGATGTGTCAGACCGCGATGAAAATGACATTTTCCCCGTTAAAGACTCCGAAGCCAATGGTAATCATTTTAACGATTTGATGACAAAAGAAAAGAAACACATAATATACACATACAGTAGAAGAATGTCAATGAGGGGAGCTCTTCAGGCATCAAAAAAGCTGTTTGAGAAAATCAAGACCGAAGAAGAGCAGAGTGAGGTTGAAATCAAAGAGGAATGCATTGAAACTGAGGTGTATCAAGAAACATTTGAGTCCCACCAAATCCCTCTGGGAGAATCGCCAACAGACGATTTGTCAGAGCTGGAAATGGACAGCAAGAAGTGTCCGTACTGTCCGGCCATTTTTGAGTCTGGAGTTGGACTGTCCAATCACGTGCGTGGGCATCTTCACAGGGTTAGACTGAGCTATGATTCACAGCACGCCGTGCCTTCACAGGAGGGGGCTTATCGAGATCAGAGACCACGTATGCGACGGAAGAATGCTGCATTACGCCGACTGAAAAAAGGTACTGAAGTTTTTATGCACCTCTTTTCAGAAATGAAAACTGTTTTTACTTTAGGAATATAGAAATACTAAGTTTATAATTTAAGATATGTATTCTATGTGAAAAAAATATATGTGATTATCGTAACAATTGAAAACTGAACCTAAAAGGCCAAGGCTAATTTCAATTTTTATTAAGTTTGAATTTTTATTAAGTTTGATTTCAAATTTGACTTTCCAACGTCTATGTTCACAAGTTTGTCGGTAAACGGCAAAGTTCCTGCAACCAGGGTCCGAACTTACTTACAATCAACTTTTTGACTCACTGGCTAAGTGGACCAGAGGAAAACATTTTTTACCAAAAAAAAAAATAGAAATGAATTGCTATCATATATTTTTAAGGTACATAATATTTCCCCAAGGCAGTTACAGTAAAAGGTTGTGTAGTTTTATTAAGTAAGTTGGCCCATAAATAAAAGCGTAGCCCTCCCTCCAGTGCCATGGGCAGTGTAAAAACAATATTTAAATCTTTGTGTTGATATAGCCATCAGCTGTGAGTGCAGCGGCTGTAGCATTGGGTTGTTTCGACTGAGTCTGAGACATGGACACCCAGGGAATGTGGCATTTTCTGCTTTTGTTCACGGATGCTCTCCAGTTCAATAGACTGATAGCCAGCGACAAATTAATTGTGTCTGTTCTCTTTTGCGTATTTGCTGCACACTGAGCAGCTTATTAGCTTAGCATCTTCACACATCAGCTATTTTCCTACGAAGCACGGTTTTTCCTGAAAGCACCATAATTCAATAAACATTCTCTTCGCTCTGGGGGCTGTAGATCCTCACTCCCGCTTGTCCTCATTGGCATATGTTTGAGGTTTGTTGCACCAGTTACAGGGTTGGTAATTGATAAGATTTTCAAGATTCCGATTCCCTTATTGATTCTGTGAAACAATGAAATTGGTAAGTGCACGATGACATTCGTCTACCTTTGCCTGGGATATTCTTACCACAATTACACTACCCTTGAAAAACCGTACCGAGATCGGTCCGAGCTCAGTAACTGAGATAACTTATCGTGTGTAAATGGAAAGCAAACTGAACCGAACCGAGCTAGACACAACCGAACCAAGCTAACTGCAGACCAGTTCCAGAGATGGGCTCGGCTCGGTTTTTCCCTGTCTCGGTTCTCTGATAACAAGAGCGCATGAGCAGAACACGTCATCTCCGTCTGGCTGCACATCCCGATTCACACTCCATTCCAGTAGTTGGCGGCAATGCCCCTCCGGAAGTTGCTTGCCAACCAACACAAAACAGAAGAAGAACAACTATAAACAACAATCAAAATCTTCTCCACGCAACATTTTAAATAATGGCTTTTTAAATAATAACTACGAACTACAGCAATAATAATCAAGCATAACTTTCTGAATGTGACGGGGCGCCGCCATTTTGATTTGCTTGATTCCCTCCTTCTTCGTCTTCTTCTTCTTGTGTTTTATGGCGGTTGGCAAACAACTTTTGGTGCATTACCGCCACCAACTGCTTGATTTCCTCCTTCAATACTGGCAGTAATACCGCAGATCGTCACTAGGAGGCAAGGAGTTGAGGAACCGAGATAGCGTGATGTGTAAACGGTCGTCAGAACCGAGCTCGGCCTGGTTAACTCATCCAAGCTCGGATCGGTCTCAGCATGGATCGGTTTTTCAAGGGTAGTGTAAATGGGGTATCTATTTATTCCTGCCTCGGTGAAAACAGAAGGCAGTGAACGGGAGCTGCAGCCTCTGATCCAGCCAGGCTACCCGTCTCGTCACAGTCATCCAAATCTAATGGAGAAGGCATCTGTTTAATGAAAAATCATTACTTTACAATTTGGGGAAATAAACTCATCTCCTGATTTAAATAAATGAGCGTCACCTTTCTCTCGCTCCCTGAACTGTGGAGCAACTTGGTAGCATGTTTAATAACCCCAAAGAGAGGTAGGAAACTGGTTTATTTCCAGAAATGGCGTCTGATTTACTAGGAACCACATTAAGCTCAGCCAGTGATATAAAACTAGATACTTACCACCACAGTTGCCTTCCATGCTGGTCATAACTTTAGCTTCTGTCCGGAAGCATCGAAAACACGGCATTCGTTAAAATTTATGCCATGTTGTGTGCGCAGGTGTTTCTGCATGTTGGATCTATTTTATTCCGCGGATGTTATTGCCACTTTACATCCAAACTTTCGATCAGTTTACCCGATGGGAAGCGAACTTTTTTGTTTTGCTTTTCTAGACTAACGCCTGGTACTTGTTTACTGAATGCCATGTGCGTAACTTGCGTAAAAAACGTGATGTAACTTAGGTAGAAAATGTGATGTAAGTCGTGCTGCCCAGCTAGGATCTGGTGCTGCCTGGAACCGTTAAAAGAACCGTTAAGCAAGCTGCCAAACTTTGCCACGGAATTGGAACACACGGAACCGGTTCTGAACAGGAACCGGTTTTCGATTCTCTTCCCTAATCAGTTAGCTGCTGTGGTTGATGCACAAATCGGAGCAAATTTGACTGAATCTCCATAACATGAAGCTGCAGAGTCTCTCCCTCATTTAAGTTCATGCAGCTCTGTGTTGCAATTGATTCTCATAGTGGATCAATACATAAGTTATTTTATACATTCCTAGTATTTAAATCACACATAATGATACACTTTCTTTCACGTTTATAGTTTAACACAGCCAATGTGGTAACTTCACATCCATTAGCCTATTTATTCAGTTTCCTCGGTTACGGCTATGATTTCTCAATAAATATGTGGAATAAAAAAAATCCCAATAATAGACGGCCTTGAATTGATCTTTTCTATTGGATCTTATTGTGGTGCATCTTCATCAGCAGCTGCCTTCCTATTGGCTGATCTGCTGTCACACTGCAAGGTCGTCATTCTACATAACAGACAATGTATCATCCCTGTTATCTAGAATAGAAATGGAATAGAAAATCTCTCGATTGTTCCACAATGGAGGAATTGTGATGTTACTTCAGCAAAAGTTTTCACACAAATGTGGACCTTAAAAGTGTATAAAAGTAAAGAATAAGTTGCAGAGTTAAAAAATCAATAAAATAAAATACTGTAATGAACAGTGTTTTTACAAAATAAATGCTGTCATCTGAAGAATAGATAATTAATATATAGCTGTGGACATTTAAACAGTAATGGGTATGTAAAAAATGGCAGCAATACCAGAGATGTGCAAGATGACATCAGCATGTTATTAAAGAGAGGAAGAAAGAAACTGTTCAAAAACCAGCATGAATGTAACAGCTAAAGCTGATCGTACGCTGTGCGATATTATCAATCGTTGTACTCAGGTTTTCCCTATGGCTGTAAGAAATTATTAACAGTCATTCAATTGGTTGTTTTTAAATTCAGGCCTTAATTGGCATTACGTTTATTAAATGTGATTATTGTGGCATCTAAGATGTTGGTTTTTTTATTGTTTATAAAAACAATTATATCAGGTATAACTGTTTCTGCACGTTTCACGAAACTGCTTCCGGTTGATCGTAAAGCCGTATGTTTGGAAAAAAAGCTCGAGGCGGAGGAAGAGCTAGAGAATGGGAAAATGAAAATTTCAACAAAAGTGGCTGAAAAACGAGGAATTTGGGACATGGCTGCAGCCTGCCGACGCTAAAGAGGTTTAAGAGTTTACAGCTCACGATGTTTGTTCTCACACTGTGCGATCTACTAATGCGATCTACCTGCTCACACTGTACGTCTAAAAACCAGGTGGGACTCAGTGAGATGGCGCTACTCGGACTAGAGTGAAACGCGCTGCCTTGGTAATTTTGGCAATTTAGTGCTGAAAGCCCTAAAAAGAAAAGGCGACGACATATTTGGACAAAGACATGGCTGAGCTAACGTGGCTACTACGGTCTGTCAGTTTTAAGGAAAGAACTCGATTTCACTCATTGCACCCCCGCCATTCTTCGGGGTCTACATCTGAGAGGAAGCAGAAGAAGAATCCTTGTTTGCCCACTAAGGATTTGCCCATGACCACCTTAAGATGGGTGATGAATTTCAAACATCTTTGATTTTCTCCGACCTTCTGATTCCTGATGGGGAGGTGGTCGTTAGAGGCTGATCGTCCCTCGTTACCCCCTGTTCACTACACCACACACCAACAGGCAGAAAGTCCGTCCGATCGAAAAATTCTCACACACCTGGAAAGTCGGCCCGAAAAGCGACGTACATTGTGCGAAAAAAATCGCACAGTGTTTATCATTGATGGGGACATGTCCACAAAAGTTACATCTGTCAGTGAAACCAACTACCAGGGCTGCTGCAGACATGCTAACATTAGCCTGGGCTGCTGCAGACATGCTAACATTAGCCTGGGCTGCCGCAGACGGGCTAACATTACCCCTGGCTGCCGCAGACGTGCTAACATTAGCCTGGGCTGCTGCAGACGTGCTAACATTAGCCTGGGCTGCCGCAGACGGCCTAACATCAGCCCTGGCTGCCGCAGACATGCTAATGTTAGCCCAGGCTGCCACAGACGGGCTAACGTTAGCAAGTCTGCGTCTCACGTTAGCAATGGCTATGCTGGAATAAATTTGTACTGCTACCTTTTGAAGCAACAGTTTTTTGTGGCACGTTTTAAAAATTAGCGGCTTTTGTTCGACGTCCTCGGCGTGAAATCGAAACCGCCGCCGTATATCGCTCAGCCTAACCACCTGCTGTCGCCATATTTTGTTTGCTGGTTGCTGTAGTGCCGCGCAGAACATAATCCTGTTTGAAGGAGGGGTTTATAATGCATTTAAAGTGTGTGGGAAAAATAAACTCAGTGATATAGACGCCGACGGCTCAACGTCCGCATGCAAAGTTGTACTTGATGGCTGTGTTAGATTTGTTCGTAGGAAAACTCGAGATACACCGACTACATTCCATATATCGCCCACCTTTAGTTGCTTTTCCATTTTTTTTTCTATGTTATATTGTCTCTTTGTCAAAAAATACTTCTTTTTTTTGTCTAATTACATTTTATTCTGCTAGCAGTGATCTGTTGGTTCAATGTTTTTATGTTGAATGTTGTCGGTTGTCACAGCAGCTTTTTTACAGATGTTTAAGAAGTAGATGTGCCCTTATTGTACAGATAATGTTGTTATTCTTACTTTGTTTTTTTTTTCCTCCCCCCCGACAGCACTACAGGAAGATTCCGACTCTGAAACTGTGAGGACCGTTCACTCCTGTCCTTTATGTGGGGATTCATTTGACAACAGAACTGGACAATCCAACCACATACGGGGTCACCTGAAAAAGCTTGGGAGAAACTTTTCCACAAAGACTAAATCCCCGATCATTTTACTCCGTGAGCTGATGCGCGACAAGAAGGAGTGCCAGCGGGCCTTGCAGATCCTAGGAAAAAGAAGGAATAATTTCCGATACGGTGCTTTGCCAAAGTTCCCCGTCATCAGTCGTTTCACTTCGTCTCAGATGGGATTCCCAAAAAGTCAATCTGTTTCAAACCTTTGCACTGATGCCAAACCACTGATTTCCTCCTTTTCTTTAGAAGAAAGCAAATCTGAAAACGGGCAGCCGGAAAAGTTGGAAGTTAAAAATTCCGTTTCTGGTACAACTGCCCTGATAGGGATCCTGAAAAAGAGGAAGTGTCAGGAAGATGCAAAACAAAAGGGATCCTCTCAGGTGTCAAGAAATGGTTTACCAGTTTCTTCCAATACTGAAGAAGGTTCAGGATCAAAAGACGAATCTTCACTGCCAAACCCGCTACCTGGTGGTAAGTAACTTAGGCAGAATAAAAGAGTTGGAGAGAAAATTAACACTTTCAACAGGTAACATTTTTCAAGTTTAACAGTTACCTCTATAAAAGTAATGCGGTATATCTGCTTTCTGAGCAAAAAAGATCAGTTATGTTAAAGTATCATCTCCATAAAAGAGAAGATTTGGTTTTACAACAGCCTGATAGGGCATTTAATCAAAGTAGGGTAAAATAGGATGCATTAGAAAGGAAAATCCTCCATATTTAATTTCATATAACTCATATAATTCTTTCTGTCATGATTTGTGGACATTAAGATCTAAACAGAAGCGCCATCTCCTGGTCAGACGCTGTAATTCAGTGAAAGGGTGGAGTCAGAGTAAATAAAATATGCTCACTCAGGAGTTTGAGGGGATTTGGCTTCCATTCGGCTGGCGTTCGACTGGGGGGGGGGGCATTTTGAATGGCTGCTAATGTAACTAAAAAAAAAAAAGAATAAAAAAGGAGCCTGAACAGTGAACCCTGAAACAAAGTTACAAATTGGACAAACCAATAAAAACAAGTTTAAATATTCATTTAGGCTTATAATAATGTTCCACAGTGAAAGCATTCCATCCTTAAAATAATATCATAGTGTTTTGGTTAAATCTACTTTTGTGAACATTTTAAGTGCATTGATGGTTATAAACGGGTAGGTAGGCGGTAGGCTATGGTTTTTAGCAAAGATTATACATTATGAAACACATATTGAAAAATAAAGATGTTAATTATTTCCAGCAAACTGAGCTGAGCTGTGAATAATTAGCGGCTGCCCATTAATGGCTATGCTGGTTGCTGAGGGACCAGTGGAAGAAGTTAGAGGGTTTAAGCTTTAATGTATTTAATGTAAGGGAATATCTACCAGGTTCTTAAAGGAACGTTAAGAAAAGATTTCTGGGAGAAATATGGTTTGTTTAGCAGATGTGTTTGAAAAATGATCCTGAATCCAGCTGCTTGATTTAGAATAACCAGATGAAATAAACTTGGAGTCAAAGATAATAACAATTTCAATGTTAAAGGTACTGTTTGCACAAACAGCTGTATTTGTTAAGCTAGAAGGGGTTCATTTTTAGCTACATATATATATATATATACATGTATATATGTATGTAGGTAAAAATTAACCCCTTCTGGCCTAATTTTTTGACTGGAGTAGGCTTGGAGAACCAGTGAAAATTAGCATTTTTCAAAGTAATATTGAGGAGTTTTTGTTAAGTGTTAAGAATCCTGATTTTGTATTTTCTTGGATATTAGAAGTTTTCTTGAAAACAAAATGTGAATATAAAGCATTTATCTGCATAAAGGAATAGAATGTATGGAAGAAGATTAGGGCCATTGGGGGAAAAACAAAGGTAACCGATTGTTTTAGTTTATTTGAGTTTAATATGGGAAAAAATATTTATCATATTACATGCATATAGAATTAAACAATCTGTTCTTTTTTTTCCAGTGGCCCTATTCCTAAAAAAAAAAAAATATGAATTTGTAGATTAAAGTAAATTCTGAGAGGAAAAAGTCAGAGCTCTGAGATTAAAGTCACTTTTCCCCCCATATTAAACTCAAACAACATAAAAAAATCTTTTTTGTTTTTTGTTTTTCCCAGTGGCGCTAATCCTCTTCCCTAGGAATGGGATGTTTAACGATCTACTGAAATGTTGAACGATCCTTTGCTTTTTTTCTGCATCTTTCTTATTATTTTTTTTTTTTTACAGAAAAGGGTGAATTCAACAGGAAAGTTTGCATCCACTGTAACGCAACTTTCCACAGCGGAGTTAGCCTGTCCAACCACCTTCGGGCTTTCGCTAAGAGACAACAGATTGCCTTACTCGAAGGGACCAGTAAGTTCTGTTTCCATTCTTTCCTCATGAGCTCACTGGACAACCAGACATTTTTACAAACTGGAAGTTCTTCCATATGCATGATCTCAGCTGCCCTCTGTGTTCACTGAACAATATAGTAAAGAGTCACATTTATACGGCTCAGTTTCAACGTAAGAAAGAGAGAGTACTATTTAAAAACCCTGAAATATTAATACTGCAGTTTAATTGCTTTTTTAAGCAGCTTTGCAAACAGACTCTCAAATTCGATGGGATTAAGTTTCAGATTCCTGAGAACCTTTTCCTTCAGTTTTTATACAGGGAGGGTCGGCGCTAGGCTACCAGTAGCATTATCACAATTCTAATGTGGAGTTTTCCCAGAGCGGGAATTTTAGAAGAAGCAAAACGTGAGGCTGGAAGTTGGCTGACAGTCGGCTTTCGACTGGAAAAGACCCAACATCTGCTAGTTAGCTGGCTAAGCTAGCATGCTACATGAGGCAAAGATTTATACACGCTTTTGTTAAGCTCACTTCAACTCTGCCGCCATCTGACGGTGTGGAAATAATCATCCAGGCTGTCAGCAAATAGCAATTAGCCATTAAGCTAACCGCTAGGCTAAATCAACATCTAACCGGTCAGTTTTTTAAATTTTCCCCAAACTTCCTCCAAACCAGTGCGGCTATAAGATTAGCCTCCAGTTAAACCATAATGTGAGTTAGCGCTCCCATGGCGTCACCATCAGTTAGCGTCACAATTAGGGCTGAAACAATTAATCCGATTAATTGATTATTAAAAATAATCATCAACTTATGTTGTGATCGATTAATCATTAACTGGAGTATAGTGACAATAAAACCTGCCTTTAGCTGACAGAGCGACACAATTAGAGCAGGAATTATAGCAAAATGGCAAAAAATATATAAACATTTTATAATTAGGATTAAAAAAAAACTTTTTTGTCTGTCAATCTGCTGTATCCAGATCTCCTCCAGTGGAAAAGTTTTAGTTTTACCTGGTTTAATAAAAAAACAAAACAAAAGAAACCTTTGGCTGTCGGATTATTAATCGATTAATCGCAAAAATAATCAACAGATTAATAAATTTACTAAATAATCATTAGTTGCAGCTCTGGTGACAATACAGACTCTGCACTCTGACCGGATACAAGAACATGGAATAAAAACAGACAGAAATAAAAATGTATTTATTAAATAAAAAGGCTGAAAATACATAAAAGTAGCTTTACATGATTAAAGTGTCACAAAAAGCACTAATAAGAAATAAATAAACCCGGGAGAAAAAAACCCAAATAAATCTTAACGTAAACAATGATTAATGGATAAATAAGCAAAGAAACATTATATCTTTTTTATGGGGACATTATTTTATTTCATGTAATATTTATTAATAACAGTATTTATTTTAAATAAAACAGCTCTCCATATATAAAGGTGTTTATAGCAGTAATAACAAGGAGCACAAAACATAACCTGAACATTTTTACCCGTCTGGATTAGACCAGAGGAGGAGGAAACCATCTAGATAGATAAATAAAACAGATTGTAGCTTAAATTGTAAACTAATCAAACGTATCCATGGAAACCTCCCATAAAATAAAACACAGATAGATCAAACTGTTATGTTTTTGTCATATTTGTGGAGAATTCTGTAAAAAAAAAAACAAGCAGGAGAGTTAGATGGTGAAACCAGGAGGAACAAACGGACCAAAGGAAATCTAGAATGTAAGCTCTATAACCTTCATATTTATTGTTTATGTCCTGAATCTCCCTCTCTGTGTGGTGGCTCTAGAAGCTCTGATTCTAGACCCGCTCAGTGCAAATAAATTAACTTTTAAATGATGCCTGAGATGCATCTTTATTAACCGGCTGCTCTCTCTAGTTCCCTGAAGAACTTTTTCACTCTACTGCAGTAAAAGCATATCTAGATATTTAATCTCTCTGACGCCCGTTTTGTCGTTGGGCGTTAATCTGCGTACTTTAGAGGTCCGAATCAACGGTTAGAGGCACCGCACAGATTTAACGGAGGACGGACCTTCTGATGATTGAAAGCTTTCTGGTGCTGCTTTGTTCTGCAGACAGATGTTTAAACTTTCATTTTGTGCTGCAAACCGTGTATTTATCCGCAGCGGCGTACAGATGAGTGAGTCACGCCACTCACCTTCCTGGATCGCGGCCGCCGCAAGACCATCGATCAACTCAGAGCTGAGAATATCCAGACAGAGATGTCTGACAATGAATGTTTGCCTGAGAAAGCATGGATGTACTGTATGTATGGAGGCCCAGGAGGGCCAGCGGAAAGGAAATACAACGTCTGAATCATGGATTTAGAAATCCAATTTGAAAAGACTTGTTTTTTTTTTATTGCACATTATAAATAAAATTAATCACATTAATCCATTATTAAATCCTACAATGTGAGGATTATTTAATCCTATTTTTAAATGGAGTAAAAAAAAAAAAGTTAATTTCCCATTTAACTTTGCATTTTTCAAATCCTTTTTTATTAGTTAACCTTCTCTGGAGCTTATTAACAGTTTAGCTGCTGCTTTTTAATCAATGGTTTAGTTTCAAATTATTAATGATTTAGCATCATACTGTTAGCAGTTTAGCTACAGCGTATAAATATTTTATAACCTGCTTATTAATGGTTTAGTAAAAATTTTAACTTTTTAGTTTCAGCTCATTAACACAGTTTTTCAACAGTTTAGTGTCAATTTAATAATGGTTTAGCTGAAGCCTGTAACCAGTTTACTGGTTTAGTAGCAGCATATTAACAGATTAGCAACGGCTAATTAACAGTTTATTAATGTTTATTAACAGATTAGTAACAGTTTGTATTTTTATCTTTTGTATGGTGACCTTGAGTGTCCAGAAAGGCGCCTTTGAAATAAAATGTATTATTATTATTTCAGAAATGTTTATTAACGGTTTAGTAACAGTTTATTAACAGTTTAGAAACGGTTTATTAACAGTTTAGTAACAGTTTAACGGTTTAGTAACAGTTTATTAACGGTTTAGTAACGTTTTAGTAACAGTTTAGTAACCGTTTATTAAGAGTTTATTAACGGTTTAGTAACAGTTTAAGAGTTTATTAACGGTTTAGTAGCAGCATATTAACAGATTAGTAACGGCTAATTAACAGTTTAGTAATGTTTATTAACTGTTTAGTAACAGTTTGTGTTTTTATCCTTTGTACATTGACTGAGTATCCAGAAATGCGCCTTTGAAATAAAATGTATTATTATTATTTCAGAAATGTTTATTAACGGTTTAGTAACAGTTAGTAACAGTTTATTAACAGTTTAGTAACAGTTAGTAACAGTTTATTAACAGTTTAGTAACAGTTTAGTAACGGTTTAGTAACAGTTTAGTAACAGCATATTAAAGGCTAAATGGAAAAGGGAAACACTTTTTGGGAAAAGTAAAGATGTAAACAAAACCATGAAAGCGCAAAAAGGATTTCAAAATGGAAAGAGGAATTTTAAATATTTGATAAGGAAACTTATCAGATTTATAAATAATGTTCTTTAAATCTATTTAGAAATGGGATTTGAAAATACATTTTCAAACTGCAGTTTGCAATATTTGAATAAATAAAACTTAAAGTATTGCTTCAGTAATTTTCATTTAAATGTGTAATTATGAAAGTCCTTTTAAAATGAGATTTCTAAATCCACCATTTGAACGTTAAAACTTGAAATCCTTTTTTTCCACTGCCTCTCCTGGTCTTCCATAAAACTGAACCACATTGCAGTGATTATTACGGCGTTCTGGTGGAGCGAGGCTGAGCCCGATCGTCCCTCTGTGAGTCTAACTGCCGTTTTCATCTTCCAGCCATTCAATGCAAAGCAGTGAGGACGCGTTCGAGGCCCGGTTTGAAGAAGAAGACACTGCCGTTAGCCCAGAGTCCAGAGGAAATGTACAGACTCACCTGCAGGCACGTTTAACACGCAACTCTCACTCTGCTCTTCAGCTGCTTTAGTTCTGGGGGAAGAAAAACTCACTTCCTCGTTTTCTCTTCAAAGGTTCTGTGACCTCGTCTTCCAGGGTCCGCTGTCTGTCCAGGAGGACTGGATCAAACATTTACAGAGACACATTATGAACACCGGGGTCCCCAACAGCGGGCTCGGCATGGCCGAAGTCACCTCGTTGTCCGAGAACGCTCCGATCCTCAAGACGGATCAAGACAGCTCCTTGTCGACCGCACACGCCGCCTCCTGAGGCCACAGGGGACCCTTTTCTAGATTTCACTAGATTGTATGTACGTGTACATTGGATGTTTGTTCACTTTTGTTTTTAAAGTTAATGAAATCACGGCCAAGAGGACAACGCAGCCCGATGCGTCACGCATCGCGCCCGTCGGAGCATTTGGACGGCTGAGAAAACTTATTTTGGAATATTGTTACCTTTTGTCTCTTTTTACATGGTCCATTTTGAAGGAATTTAATTCCTAAATGGATAAACTCTTTGTTATTTTATGCAGTAATGTAGTGTTGGATCCATTTCTTAAGAAGACAACTTATACCTCAGATTTTTTCATGGTTTTAGTCTGTTTTAGTCCAGACCTGGACGCAGCTCCACCGCTCTGGATCAACACTAGAAACGTTTCCTTTCAGTCGCAAAAACCACCCAGTCAACCCGCTCCTATTAGGCCAGAGTTAAAGCCACAAATAACTTCTTTTTTTTTAACTCCTTGTGCAAAAAAAGATAATAAAAAAATATGATCTGCTATCTTTTTTTTTTTATACCATAAAGCATTTTATAAAATGTCAGTAAATGCATTGTTTTAAACTACAGTCGGATCTGAACGTAGGTAAGGAAAAATAAAAGCGCACAACCCACGCTGATCATGCCCTTCTTTCATGTTACCTATATTTAATGTTTCAATATACTGTTTTGAAATAATTTAATTTGAAATGTACTATATCACACAGAAACAATGCGTAAACATTTGTGTTGTTCTAAATAAAAAAAAAACTGAAAAACGAACCACATTTTGTTCTAGTTTTTTTTTTTTCAGTTAAGATTAAACTAAAGATGCAGCAGCAGATATTTACAGATTTATTTTATTTACACTGTCAGGTGTTACATATGGAGGACCAGGAGAGTCATTTAAAAAGAAAACATTTCCACAATATAATCGGCCCTCTATCGGTATC